GGGAACAGAAGAAAGAGACAGGGGGCGAGTATATTATTTGCCTTTTCAAGAAAGAAATTGAGGGGCAAAGTGATTAAACTAGTGTGTTTTCACAAGAAGACTTTCAAATCCTAGGGCAACTATACACTGTAAAAATTGTAAAATTGTAATAATAAAATTTATAAATATGATAGATTTATTCTAAGATATAGTAATCTTTCCTGGGAGGGATTTCTCACAAAAAGTATGATTTCAGACTTTTGGGTGGCTTTTGCCTGGTAGAAGAAAATAATTAAAAAGTGGTCTTTATTGATTATCCAATTCATATCTCTTTAGTTTCAGACAAAATTTTATGACTATTTAGGCCATACTTACAGTTCCTGGTATGTACTCCTAAACTCTGGAGCCTAGAAGAACCATGTCTGTGGATTCTTTAAAGTACCCGATCGGGCTAGGTGTGGTGGTACATGCTTGTAATTCCAGTACTCTGGGAGGTTGAGGCAGGAGGATCACAAGTTCAAGACTTGCCTGGGTAACTCAGTGATTTAGTAAAACCTTGTTTCAAAATTTTAAAAAAATATAAAGGAATGGGAATGCATTTCAGTGAGAATGTCCCAGGTTCAATCCCCACTACAACAAAACAAACAAAAAACTGGACTATCTGCTTTCATGTTGATTCTACCCTTAGACTTTAGAAACACACTGAAAGTTTTTGGGTTAACTTGTGGCTATGTGAAAATGATATTGGAAATTGAAAATATAGCCATTTAATATCTGATTGATATACTTACGTTACAGTTAGTCTCTGTTGCAGTGGTGATGTAAAAGTCAGTGCCTATAGGATTGTAGACGAAAGATGCTAATAGTGTGTTTTTATAATTTCCCTACCTTAAAAATATAAAACAAAAGGAAAACTTTCATCTTTTTGTAATTGATCCTAATTGATACACATGAAAATATAATCGATTCCAAGTATTCTGCACCATTAAGAAGTATAGTTTGTTTCTTTTTCTATGATTTTTATTATTACATGAACATAGTGACACACTATAATTTACACATTGGCCCCCCTATACATGTGTGCATTCCTTTGTTTTCAGTATGTCTTATTACCCAGTACATCAGTTAATATACACAATTCTTTTAGTGTGTCAAGAAATGGAGTATAATTTACAACCCATATCCCAGAACTCATTTGTTAAATGAACTTGAGGAGTCATCTTTAAGGCTCAACTGTCTTATTTATGAAACAAAGAAGACACTACTTATCTCAAGGGATATGTTGTAAGAATCAATGAAATAATTGAAATAAAGCACTTCAGCCTGTGCTCTGACACATGTAATGCACAATAAACATAAGCAAATAGGGGTAGCGGTTATTAGAGGGGAAGGGGAAAGGAAAGAAGGGAAAGGAAAAATTATGAGAAAAGAAAAATGGAAATGAAGTCTAGGTAAATAGGGAAGGGTGGAGGGGGGAAGGGTACACAGGTAATGGAGAAAAAATAAGAACCAAAGTACATCATGTATAGGTACAAGCACCCAATGACAAATGTAAACGTATTGTATACCTAAAATGTACCAATAAAAGAACTTAAGAAAAAAAAAACATAAGCAAATATTTATTCATCATCATCATCATCATCATCATCACAATGTGTCTCTTAAATGAAGAAATACCTACCTCCCTTTGTCCAAGAGTATAAAGCAGTTTAAAATTACTGAGCATATCTACCAAATATTTCAAATAATGAAATTATGACCATTTTTCTTTTTTAAGGTTTGCGTTCACCTTGATTAAGGTTTGCATTCACCTTCACTGTTTTCCCTCATGTTTACAAGAGTTGATATCAGTCTTACTATCAGCAGCAATAGAGGTTTACTTGCTCCCCAACAGGAAGGTAAAGTTTTGCTTCTGGATCTAAATCTCTTTTGACAGCAACAGTTTTCACTTGAAACTTTAAAGTTGTATTAAAAAGGAAAAAACAACCACCTCCCTTTCCCTTGTCCAAGCAATGATTTTAAAATACTTATTTTTGTTTTTGCCTCTGACAGTTTAACCCACAGCTCCTAGAATAATTTTGACATTTTCTGAGTACATTTGCACCAGACTTTGCATGTTACTTGAGCATCTAGTAGATCATTGTCCTCCAATTCCATGCCGATTTGTCAAGGGTCTCATGCTGGTCACTTCAAAACTGATCTCTGCCAGGCTTTGCAAGAAATGGACAGTCAGGTGGACAAATTCTTCTTAAAATAGTCCAAACTGCTTTCCTCTGTGTGGTTATTTTCTGCAAAGACAGAAAAGTTCTTGTTACATAACAGTGTACTCAAATTGTCTGTTTCTCATATTTTACTTCTTCCCCAAATACCATCTTTCCACAAACTGAAGCTCAAACAAGAACATTTCCTTTGTACTTTCTATCCTAAATCCTTCACAGATTAACCCCACAGGAGGGTGCAACAGGGCTGGGGATTTAGCTCAGCGGTGCTGTGCCTGCCTTGCAAGCACAAGGTCCTAAGTTTGATCTCCAGTACTGGGGAAAAAAAAAAACAAAACAGAAGGGTGCAACAGGTGGTTTCCCTGGGGGATAGAGCACAATCACCAGCTAGGTCCAGAGGAAGGCCAAAGCGATGTGTCCGGAGCTCTTCCAAATTCCAAGTTGGAGCAAAATGGGTTGCAATAACTTGAGCAACAAAACGCATGAGAACTGTTCATTTCTTAGCTCTCAGGTGATCCACTGGATCCCAAGCAGGAATCAGGTATTTCCCAGCTGAAGTGAACTGAACAAAGAAGCTGCCCCATATTCTGCACTCAACAGGATTCCAGGAAACCCTAGGCAGACACTGAAGGAGGGAAAAGAAGTGCACAACTGAAAGTTGAGGTGTTTTTAATGCAATGAGTGGAACCTCATCACCCACATGTCATCCTCTCCCGGAAATGCCATTTCCTCTTCCAGGAAACATAGGTGTGGAGAACTTCTGAGCAGCAGCCATGTGCATAAAACAGTAAGAGAGTAACTGATAGAAAACAGAAAAACCTAGTAGTCCAGGAAAGGAGAAGATAAGTCCAACAGGATGCTGGAGCCATAATGTCTATAGGTTTGCACTCCACCCAACATGTGCCAAAGGAGAGCTGGATATTTAGTTTCAAATGAAATGTTAAGATTAAAAAAATCTTTCTAAAACATATAATGAATATTGATTTAAGACTTCCAGCCTTCATATTAATGGGCTTTCAACAGTAGAACTACATGATCATAGGACAGTAGAGTAGCATGGGTCTTCAGAGAGCAGATGACCAAAAGTTCAAGAAGCAGAAAACCAAGAGCAAGGTTGTAAGAATGGGGGTATTATTCTACAGCACCAGAGATGGCCGTTTCAGACTGTTTGGAATTGAATCCTGATTCTGGTACTTTATTAATAGTGAGATCTTGGACAAGCTACACAATCTTTCCAAACCACATTATTTGCATTTGTTAAATAGAGATGATGAAGTTGATGATGATGATAATGATGATACTTACCTCACAAGACTTATGAATATTAAGTGAATAGTGCATCAACAGTGTTCATCACAATGGCTGGTGTATAAGAACTTAGTATATGGCCAACATTATCATCATTTGAAACTTTAAAGCCACTGGCTACCAAATAAACTAGCAACATTCACCATATTTTTCATCACACCTCATAAAGGCACCTATGAAAGAGGACTTCCAGAACTGCTTCAGAAACTGCCAAATATGATAGAAGTGTAGTCAAAGAGAAGGGAAGTATTTTGAAGTAGGTTAATGACAACGCGTCTTTTATTGTAATATTATTTAAATATTCACCATAGTTTTAAATCAGCCCTTGCATGAATTTTTCCTTGAGCACCTATATGTACTTAACTTCTTTCTCAAATTGTCAGTGGAAATGCCAGACATGGAAAATAAGGAGTTTGCTATCTGCTGGGCACAGAAGCAACGATCAGCATACCATTTCTTTTCAACCCAACAAGGTATAATGAGGGATAGTGGAGGAGTCAGGGAGAAAACCCACCATACCATGATGACGGTGGCTGCAACGTGATGTCATGGTGAGCCAGCACCTTTACACCTCTGGGCCAGACGCTTCCAAGAAATTCGGTCTCTGTATTGCAAGATCTTTACCTGTGTCTTTCAGATGTTAACAAACAGGAGAGAGAGGGGGCTGATTTTAATGGGATATGTCTTTATCCTTAAAAAGTGTGTGTGGTAGCTTTGTGAGATTTATATAAACAAAAGAGCTTTGAGCCTCAGTTTTTTCATCTGAAAATTAAGTTTAGACTGGCAGAACTCTGAGGTCCTCTGAGATGACATTCCATACATCAACAAGAAGCCTGTTAATCCAAGGACTGGCTCTTTTGTACGTTTTTAATATCTTTTTAAAAAGAAGAAAGAAAAAAAAGGGAGTAAAAGGATTACTGTTTAATTTCTCAAGCTTTTCTGGTCTTAGTATTCATAGCAACAAAAGCCTTAACCAAGTATATTTTGATTAGTGTCAACACTGAAAGGAAATCATTTTCAAACAGTATTGATAACCAGACAATTTTCTAACCTCAATGAAAAATTAACTCTATGAAAAATAGGAAAAACCACCCCCAGTGTTCTTCGTTATGATCATCACGAACTAGTATTACCAACAAGGCATTAAAAAATCCGAGAATGACAAACGCACTGGAATGACATAACGTGCAGCTTCAAGGACTGTAAAGTTTAAAACACTGTAACTTCAGAAAGTGTGTATAAAATAGTAAAATGCAGATTATAGAAAATCAAAATAATAGGTAAGAATCTAGAAGCCATTATCCCCAGGTCAGAACTGTGCCCAAATCTTCTGGGGTGTGAATTTTTTAAACGTTTTTAAATTCGTTAGAGTGTAAAAACGATTAAACAGTTTTGTTACCACCCAGTGACCTGAACTCTTCCCGCTGGAAGATCGACTTCAGCATTCAGCCGGTGACAGGGGGCGACACGTGGTCTCGCACCCCTTTTCCGGGCACTCGGAATGTGGCTGAGGCGGAGGCGCTTCGGCTCTGCGCAGCCTGAAGCATCGCCTCGCCCCGGGGGTTGTCCGGTCCCAGACCACCTCACCCCTGTGGCCAAGGTCGCAACCGAGCCACAAGTGGCCAGCAAGGCGTGAGGATGGAGGGTGGAGACAGCACCAGCCAGGTCAGGGTAGAAGGATCTCGGCGGGCGCAGACCGTGTTCAGCTGAGCCCGCGTGCGCGAGCTGGGGTCCGGGTCCCCTCCACCGGCCGGGCCGCTACGGGGAGGGCGACGAGCGCCCCCTGGCCGAGCCGCCTGCGGGCGCCCCCGCCGAGTCCGTCCCTCGCCAGTCACCGCGCCACAGAGCAGCTGCGGCCCCGCGCTGGAACCGCGATCTGCCACCAGGTAGGGATGCGCCAGGCGGGAGAGGGCTGCCAGGGGCCAGGACCTGAGTGGGAAGGGCCATCCGGTGTCCCTTGGAGCGGCTCCAAGAAGGGACGAGTGCTGCCGTTGGAAGTAGGAGTGAGAACGAAATCGAAAAAGAGCTGGATCCAAAGCAAACTTTGGGGCTCCCCCTGGATTTCTTGCTCGCCAGCGGAGACCTTGGCAGACGGAGGCCGGGGATGGGGGGTGGGGGGTCCACTCCTGATGGAGACTGGAGGGAAGGGAAGAGGTGGAAAGTATCTGGGGGAAAATGTTTGCATATTCTTGTAAGGAAAAATGTTTACTGGAGCTGGCAACCTGTCCACAGAGAACACCCAGTTTACTGGAAATTTGCCTGTCTAGTGCATAGGGCTGCCAGTGTTCCCTCTTCTACACAAAACAGATTTCTTTGCAAGGACCTGGGGTACGATGAGGCAAGACTTTGATAGATTTAAGAAAAAAAAAAAGTCTGGGTATTCAATTCTGTAACCTTCAGTGAAATTGTTTCCAGGTTGGGGGCCACATGTCAACAAGGTATAGTTGTTAAATAAAATCTCTTTATTTTATTGGATTTTTTACTAGCCACAATTATCAACCTGAAAGTGACTTTAAGATCTGCACCATGGTCAGGAAAGGAAGTCAAAGGCTGCCTGAGCTGGGAGATTCGGGTCATTTCTGCAAGGGGAGTGCCACAGAGCTGTGTTGTCCTCTGGATTGTCCTGCCACTGATGTGGGCTGGACATGATGCTAATAAAAGAGTACTCAGTAATGGCTAAAGCTGCAGCGGGGTGAGGTAGAAAGAACAGGCACTCTGCTCTGCCAGGCCGAGGGGAAAATGGCCTTCCAGACCCAGGTCCTTCCAGTTGCGGTGCCCTTTGAGAGCTTGCGCCAAGCCTGTGGAATAGTTTTATGAATTGTCTGCAAGATCTGAGGCGCCTGTCTTTGTGTTCTGTGAGCTCCACTTCTTTGTCCTTATCATTTGACAAAGAGAATTCTAAAGCCTCCGGATGCTTTAGGCTGTGGTGAAAAGAGCACGAAATCTGAGGGTTCCACTCAGTTGGCCCTCACTTTGTTTTCCTGGAAGCCATGGCCGTTTCCTGGCTGGGGATGTTTGATAGACAAGCTCTATTCATGAGATCCTGGGGCTCTCACCCAACTCCATAACCCAACCTTGGCAATCACCATCTTCATATTTTTCCCTAACTTATCTCTGTTAACTTGTAAAATGGCAGGCTTACTGCAGACGCGTTATCTCCTTTAAAAATGCTGTGTCTAATGGGAAGAAGTGTGACATTTACTAATTTGCTTGCAAATTACTTTTGAAGTTTATGCACAGCTGTTTAAAATCCCTCAGAGATGAGTGCCATTGTTCGATGCAGGTGTCTACCACAGAAAGCTCTCGTTAGTCCCTTTCTTTGACTGATTTGAATGTACATATATTTGAAGACAAGGCATAGGAAGATCTTCTGAAACCTGCAAAGCTCCTGTAAGTTAGCAATTCAGTCTAAGTTTTTTGTTTTCTCCTCTCCTATCAGCTTTCTTTTCTCAGTTCAAATGCAACCTGTTTGGCATCACCTGCTTTTGTTTCAAGTGTCCCTTGATTGACACTTTTATAAACTCCCAGGGAAGAATCTCATTACCTTCCGGTTTGTCATGTTCATTTCCGCTACTATCCTGGGCTATGGTGGCTCAGAATGGTGAGAGACTCTTGGACAAACTTCTTCACCTGTTCCACTCCCTACACCAGAGACTCCTCATGAGTCTGGGTGCAACTACAAACTGCAGCTCTAGGAACTTTTGATTTCTCTTGCAGTGTTGCTTCTCTTTCAGGGATTACAGGGATGCTGCTCATAAATGAGGCTCTGTTCAGAATCTCAAAGATCCTCTTCAACATTAATATATATTTGTCTTGTTCCCAGCAGACTCTGGAGGTCCCCTGAAATAGCCCATTTGTCTTTGGTCATTCCTACAAAGATGAAGGTTCCTCATTTCATCCTAACACTTCAGAAAAGACTGAATTCTTCCTTGTAATGAATTCCCTGTGGACTAGGCCCAGGATTTTCTTTCAAATGTATGGGCTTACAGGACAACCCTATGACATCAAACACTCTGGAGTAGACCTTTGAAGATGAATATCTCCTTCTAATGAACTGTTTAATTAAAGTACATTTGCCTATCTTTAAAATAGGAATTAGAGGTAGTACTTCCTGTTTTTAATGTATTTAATGTTTTAGATTTATTGATTTTGTTGTTTACCTCTGAGAATATTTCTAATATGTTAATCTGATGTGATGTTTGTTTATAAGTTTGTATTTTATCTCAGGTAATTTTCTTTTTATAGAATTCAATCTTTTAATTTTAAAATAATTCCCCTGAATCATTTAAACTAATAAATCATTAGATAGTGAAAAAATCTCAATGGCACAGATGCATAATGTGAGAAATATATATATATATATATATATGTATGACCAAAAATAAATCTATAATTACACGTACAGAGGTTAGTCCTATGGTGGCATAAATAGCTGTTCCTATTCATTATTTTTAAAAACTTTAAGCATTTCATTTGTAAACAATATGCACTCTACTTAGTTTTTCCATACCTATTGTAGCTGTTGAGGCAGGAATTGTGGAAATTTATAGAAAAACATGATGTTGAGTCAGAAAAGTGATTTAAAAGGTTTTTTTCTCGCAACAGTGGAAACATCTTTCCTTACTTTAACACCCCAAACATAGGAAGTCAAATACACATACACAGTCAAATCTGATCTCTCCATCATCTAAACATACCAAATGAGAATCAGAGGTTTCAGAAAATTTGGAATTACTCCCTCATGTGTAGAACCATACATTCCTGTTCCAGAATTAAATGAACAGAAACTTAAAGCTCCTCACTTTGGCAATACATCCTTCTACAGGTTCTTGTTAATTGATATTAACTTTTGAATAAAGCTGATAATATCAATGATAATAACCCTTGGAATAAACAAAAGCAATAAAGTACGGTTTATTAAGTCATTTTAGATTTAAGTGCCAGGTATACTCAGAATTTTATTTACATTGGCAAACATTACTGCCATATTTAACCTTCCTAAAGCCTTTATAAATCAAATATTATCATTTTTCACATGTTGAAACTGAGGCTCAAGAGGGTCAAGTCACTATCCCAGGTTTTATAACTTGTAAGTGGTAGAGTCGGGTTTGTGGTACCATCAAGTCTTTGTCATAAACTATACTATCAGATAACCAACCAATTAAATTTTTACATATAACATAAAATGTACTGCCTTAACCGTTTTAAATGTGAAGTTCAGTGGCATTAAGTATATTTGCTTTATTGTGCAGCCATCATCCCCATCTAACCACAGAGTACTCTTTTCTATAAAACTGAAACTCTACCCATAAACATCAACTCTTTATTTCCCCCCTTTTCCAGGCCCTGGCAACCACCTTTCTCCTTTCTGTCTCTGAATTTGACTGATGTAGTACCTCATATAAGTGGAATCATACAGTATTTATCCTCTCATAGCAAGCATATTTTACTTAAGGTACATTCATGTTTTAGCATGCATCCAAATATCATTTTTTAAAGCTGAACAATGCTCTAGTGGGTGGATAGACAACATTTTGCTTATCCATTCATCTGTCAGTGGTCACATGGGTTGCTTCTACCTTTTGACCATTGTGAATAGTGCTACTAGAAAGATGATGCACGAATACCTGTTTGAGATCCCACTCTCTGTTCTCTAAGGATATATACACACAAGTGGAGTTGGGGGATAATATAGCAATTCCATGTTTAATTTCCTGAAGAAAAACCATACTGCTTTCCACAATGGCTGAACCATTTTATATTCCCAGCAGTGGTGTGCCGGTGCTCCCTCCATTACTCCACATTCCCACCAATCTTTGCTATTTTCTGTCTTTTAAATTTTAGTCATCCTAATAGGTGTGAAGTAACAGCCAGTTAACTTTTAAGCAATTCATTTGATGCCCCTGTCAGGTGTGAGAAGCTGTTTGCTCCTTGTCTGTCTAAGGAAGAGGGTGTCCAGACCCACTCCCAGTACCTACTTCCCTCAACATTTACCTAGCAAGCAAAAAGGGGAAAAAAACGTTTTGGACTCAAAGAGGTCTGGTTTCACTCTGATTTTTCCAGTTACCAGCTGTATGACCTTGGATAAATTTTTTTACTGAGCCTTTTTACTCTCTCTGAAATGGAGAGTGATGTCCACCCATAGGGTTGGGCTGAGCACCAAACTGGACAGTGCAGGTGTATGTGTAGTGCCCAGCACTTAGATGGTGTCAGTGTCTAACGTTCTCTCTCAAATGACACCTCCTTCCCTGTCCTCTGTTACAGCCACCATGAAGGTCGTGATTTATATAAGCCAAAAGCAGTATCTTCCCCAGGGATATGTGTATTTCAACAAAATGGATGTCATAACCTGCAGGAGATTTTAGATTGCTGAAGTTCTATATTTCATGCAGAGATGCCAAAGATCATTTTTGCCATGATAATGAGACGTTATACTGCTTGGTGGCCTTTTTGTTTTTGTATCACACTGGTCAAAACTCAGAACCTGTATATGACCAGACACATAATAAATATGCTTAGCCTCCAGCCCTAGGCCTCTCCTCTCTTGCCAATCTCTCTTCATTTTGTTCTAGTCATATCTGTTTTTCTTCCCTATGTTATGTAACAGTTAAGGAGAACTTTGGAGGATTCGAATCCAGGATTCTCCTTTTGTAACCACTTTAGCTTTCTGAGTTTTCCCAGTTTCTTTATCTGAAAAATAAGCATAACAAACTATCTAGAGCTGATTTGTGGAATAAGTAAAATAATCTCTATAAAGCAACATGCTTTGCAGCAGACATTAAATAAAACTGAACTATTAGATGTTTCTCACTCTGAAGGCTTGATCTGTCCTTTATAATCTTAGAGTAAAAGAAAAATATTTTTAAGACAAAAGACAAGGAGTGAG